TAAGGGACAAAAATAATCTAAAAGTATTTTGAAAAAAAAACACCAAATACTCTTACTTTTTTCTTACAGCAATATTACTATGAAAGTGTTAAAAATAAAGCAATTTGACCGACCTGTTAATTCTACTAACTTTTAATTGTTAAATGTTATTTTTTGACCAAAAAAACTCCTCCACGTGCTCTACCTCTCTCTTCCTCCAATTCCACTGCACCATTTCACTCCAAAGCTGCTCCTCTACTTCCTCTTCCTCTTCCTCTTTCTCCAACATCATCGAGTTGCTGGCAATCTCAACTAGCTGCACAATGGAGGCTTTAGCCCCATCAGGGTCCCCTGTAAGACCCATCAATCTAACCCCAATCTTTATCGAGTTCGACCCAACCTCTGCTTCTTCCTCTTCAAATTCTACAAGAAGATAGGACCCTTAAGTCCGTGAATTTTTGATTCCAAGGGACCCTCGCATTTGTGAATTTGATGAGTTTTCGTTACGGTTTCCATCTTTGATTTCAATGGAAGGTTCATTTTTTATCTTTGCGTGGTGGATCTAGTAGTTTTCACGCTCTAAATCTAGCTGATTTTCCAGCCCCAAATTGTTCTAGATCGCTTTGCTCTGAATATGGCTGATTTGCTTTAAATTTAATTTTTTCTTAGTTTCTGAAAAATCTCCTCCAGTGAGGAAGGAAAATTGGAGGAAGTAGAGGATGATTATAGATGTTTTTTCCGTTGTGTTTCAAGAAGACAAGCTTTGGGGAGAGACACCGTGCGTGTTCATGAGCTTAAGGAAGGGATTGGAGAAGAATTCTTCAAAGCTTATGAAGGAGAATATTGATGAAGAGATGGGAAAACCCATCTCAAAACGACGCTCTTTGTCAGAGCCTGACCCACCATAACCAGCAGAAGAAGCCTTCTTTGTGTTTTTTTTATTCTCCTTGGTTGATGAATCAATTTTTGAGTTATAATTTGATTTTAAAACCCAAACCCAGATAAGTGTTGCTGCTTCTCATAGCTTCTGGATGAAGGAGAAAAGCTATTTTGTCTTTGTCTTTTAATTTTTTAAAAATACCACGTGATGAAAAAATATGTCATAAACAATTAATAAATAATCAACTCTAATAATAAGATAAAATTACACTTTTTTTAACTAACGTTGCACCATTTTTAATACTTTTAGAGCTACATTGTTTCAATTATGAAGGTAAAGGCACCCAATGTTCCTTTCAAGAAATTTTCAAAACATTTTTATCCCTTAACCTAATAATTAATAACTATCTAACAATAATTAACAATTATAAAAAAATTGAGATTTCTAAGTAATTTTATTATTTTATGAGATTTTTATGTATTTAAATTGCTTGTCTGGGAATTGAAAATGCTTTTCTAAAAAAAATATATTACAGCTTTTCTGAAAAAAAGAAAAGGTATTTTTAGGAGTATTGGATTGAGCATGCGATAAAAATTTTAATAAAAACTAAAAGACAAACTACTGGTTCCATAAAACAATGCTTGGAAAAAACTAAAGAAAACTATAGGCACACCAAAAATTAAGTAGCTAACAAAAAAAGAAGGCTTTTGCATATATATTTTATGTTATAGAATCAAGTCAAACAAACAGTTTAATATTTATTATATTTTACATTATGATCTGTTTATTATATTTGTCAATTATATGCTGTTGTATATATTTTTTTGTAAATTTTTAAGTTTTTAATGATAAACCCTTTATATATCAATTAAATTTTTTGCTTTGTGATAAGTATATGATAATTTTATTGTTGATGTTATTAAAAGTATTTACTTAAATATAACTGTACTAAACTATTATTTTAACAGTGTTGCCTATGTTTCATGATCTTTGGAGCAAAAAATAAAGGATGTTTTAACTATTGTAATGATAATATGTAAAATCATTGTTAACTAAAGAAAAAAAAACTAGTTGATAAATATATCTTTTAGATTAAATATTGTTATGGATATCAATAATAAAAGTCTAAAATTGATTGCCAAGTATGATTGAATTAATTAAAATTTACGTGAAATATGATTTAGATATATGGGAATGCAAATCTTATGACTAGAGGGGGTAAAATATAAAATTTATATCACTCTCATGTAATTTCTCTCAAAATTATGCACCTTTAAAATATATGTGGCTCTTCCATTGCTTGCTGGGGTGGTTTATCAACAAAATAGTGAAAATCATGCTAATCTCTACAAAAACTAAAAACAAAACAAAATTATAGGATCATCAACAAAACAAGTTATTTGATGGAGAAAACAGAACTCAATTAATCTATATGAAAATTAAAGGTGAAGTTCACTTTAAATTATATAAAAATTAAATGCTCAAACAAAACAAGTTATTTGATAAAGAAACTAATGGTAAAAACCATCTGACTTAGATGAAAACTAAAAGCCAATTTTATATTAATTTAAATAAAAATTGAAGGTTCATATAAAACAAGTTATTTGACAAGAAAACTAACGAGGGAAATCAAATTAATTTCTATGAAAACTACGTTATATGAAAACTAAAGGTGGAATCCAAGTTAATCTCTAGAAGAACTAAAGATAAAACAAAATTACAAGATCATCAACAAAACAAGTTGTTTGATGAAGAAAACTACAGGCAAAACCCAACTAATTTATATAAAAACTAAAGGTGAAGCCCACATTACTTTATATGAAAATTGAAAGATTAGACAAAACAAGTTATTTGATAATAAAAAAACTAATGACAGAACCCAACTAATTTATATGAATACTAAAGACATAGCCCACACTAATTTATATGAAAGCTGAAGGCTTAAACAAAATAAGTTATTTGATAATAAGGAAACTAACAACAAAAACCAACTAATTTATATGAATATTAAAGGTGGAGCTCACATTAATTTATATGAAAACTGAAAACTCATACAAAATAAGTTATTTGATAAAAAAACTAATGGCAATAATCAAATTAATTTATATGATTACTAAAGTTAGAATCCAAATTAATTTATATAAAAAGTAGATTATATCTTTATTTTCTTTGCCAATACTAGTCATCCTATATAATGCACAGCACACTTCAATGCTTCACAAGCTCAGCTCTAACCCACCATTTTCTTACCCCTCTCTCTCTCTCTCTCTCTCTCTGTGTTCAAGATAGGCATACATAAAATTATCCTCCTTCAAAGCTTTTCAACATCATATTCTTCAAAAAAGTTTAGCATCTTGTCGTTCATTCCTCAGAATCTTCAAGTTTATTTCCCTACTTATGATTTGATTTCTAGTGATGTCATTATTGACTTTTCACATGAGATCTTTTAGGGTAGACCATTTGGTGCTGCAACATGAATCGGAATGGTGTTGATCTCTGTTTTATATCAAAACAAACTGTCAAAAGCATCCCAAGTATGGCATCTCTATTGTGACTTTGTAGATTCGACAAGCACTACTTTACCTATAAGGAGGTTCAAACTTGGAAGATCTCATTTTACTCACATTCTAAACATTAAAAGCAACTCAAATTGCAGCTCCTCATTCCAAACAGTAATTTGTTTTTGGGTTTGGAAGATCCTCCTTAGTAGAACTGAGCCCACGATGTCCACATTGAATTTCCTTGGAACACCACATTTTGAGTTTGGCGCATCATAAATGCACAATATGCTCCAGGTTGGTGTGGTACCATCTAACGTTTGATGCTGAACCGTACTGGTTCCATCGATGATCCACAGGTAAAGTAGGCATGAGGGGGCTATAGTTGGAGGCTGTGTTTGGAATTCATGTTTCCACTTACAGAGAGCTTAATAATTGGGGACCATTCAGGAATTTGCAATTCTTGTAATGGTCGAGTGGGTTCCTTTTTGTACTGGTCTTGTTCTCTTGTGTGAGAAACACTCATAGCTAAAATGCCATTTCTTTGATGAGAACATATTGTGAAGAATGGAGCTGAACTAATTGATGTCTTGCAACATTAAGCTGTATAAGAATGGTGATGAACTTGATGAACAGAATCTAAATGGATGATGCCACGTTTTTCTAATGAAGTGTATGGCTTCTATTTAACTCTCCGCATCGCTCTGTATTTTTTATTTTATATGTAAGATTGTAGTTCAACTAAAAAACGTTTCAAGGGTTTCTAACTAGTTTTCAAACGTTCGAATCCTAGTGTTACTTGAGTGGTTATCTGTGAAATGAATATATAATTATAACCAAATATGGATGAGTTGTAAGAGAGAAGTGTATGCAGAATCAACATGAATATTCCCAGTGACGATACAATGTGGCATTTCATGTTGTTTTACTGGAGCCCGAGTTTTAATGTCGTTTCATATGCCATTTCAGAGTCAGTATTCTCAGTGTCTCCCTTTACTCCCTTTATTCTCTTTTTTAACTCTCTTTCTCTGTTTTGTGGCATTAAAAACATAACAGAATCCTCTCAAACTCGATGAAGATAGGGATTTTAAGGCAAAATGATGGCCAAAGGCTATAGTCTTATAACATCTGATGAATGTAACTTTCAGAAGCTTTTGTTCAAATATATACGCATTGAAACATACGTTTTCTGGAGAGAGTTAAACTTGAAAAAGCTCCATCAAATTGAATAAAAGAGTTTCCCATTCATATGGGTATGGGGGAAATATTATTTTTTTAATTATATTTTTATGTTAATACTAATTTAATTGTAACAGGGCAAGAGTGTGGTCGAATGGAATTGGGGCCTCTACTATCAATCAAGTACTTTACAAACTAATAGAAAAAAGAGCAATAAAAAAGGCATTATAAACTTAGGATTTGATACTTTCTTTTTAGTAGAATGACTTTCATGAGTAATTCCTTAAAATGGGATACGAAAAGTAAGCACTTTTCTCTATTTTGATGGGTAATAAAGACCTGTTTTTGGATGAATGATACAGTTTATAGTTTTTTTTTTTTCCCACTTTTGAAAAGGGTAAGCTCTTTTCTTGTCTGCTTCCTCATCATCATGGGATTTGCTTACTTGGCTTTTCGATTCCAACATGTAGTGGAAAGCTTGAGGATGGTACGGCGTGGAAGTGTGAACGCAAATTTTCTCCATTTCACAAGTTTTAGTTTGACCGAGGCAACTCATTTGGACTTGGAGGCGAAGACTTGGTCCTTCTCTTCTTGTCTTCGCACTCTATTCGCATTATCGAACAATCTTCTGGTGATAGAGAGATGGAAGAAGATCAATTGCCTCAGAACATTAAAGGGTTTGTTATAATTTCTCTTCCTCCGCCAGATAAACCCTCTTTGGGTAAAACAATCACTGCTTTTACTGTCACTGATTCTTCTCCGTCTCAAGATTCTGTCATCTCCAATGAAGAACAATCTCGTCATGAAAATCCAGTGAGTGATTTGCCAATTCGACCAAACCCACCGGATCGTCGGCTTCAATTTTCGCTCAGAAGACTCTTGTTTCGTGGTCCGACGAAGTTCTTTTCCTTCTTTGGTATTATCCTTTTCGCTCTTTTCCTGTACGGTTCTGTTTCTTCACAAACCCTTCAGGAATTTCGTAATTCTAAGAGGGAAGATCGACCCGGTTCTTTCTTCTTCCCGTTATTTCCCAAATTCGGTATCCTCGGTCAGCAGGATGTTAAGCTTAAATTGGATAAACTTGTTGACGTACAGAAAGAGAACTTAGTTGTCTCCCAAGGAACCCCCGATATCAACAAACTAGTTGCTTCTAGTGTTGCGGCAGTTGATTCTTCCTCTGTCTTTCCCGTCCAGGGCACTGTTTATCCAGATGGGTATGTTGAATGATGAACATCATCGTTTTGAACGTTGAATTGCTTGTGTCATTTGCAACTCAAACACTACTTATATATATATATATATATATATATAGATGAAGGCAAGAACATAGATGAAATTACACATCCACCCCAAGTTAAACACTACTTTATCTTGGGGGTTTCAATTCTTCGTTCTAGGGAATTCCAATTGAGATATTTGACCTCGAGAGTGTAATATAATGCTTGTAACAATCAACTGATTTAACTTCAGATAGTTGAGCTAGGGTATTAAATTTTCTTCTGAGTTTCATTTACATGTGCTAGATTATTCAATATATGATAAGCTGCAATTTAGCAATTTCCATTCAATGCTATTACCATACTGCCCCAGCTGCTGTGTAATATCTCTATGTGTATATGATGGCTTAGCGACATGTTAGTTCAATGCAGGTTGTATTTCACATATATACTTGTTGGGAATCCTCCAAGGCGTTATTTTCTTGACATGGACACTGGGAGTGACTTAACGTGGATTCAATGTGATGCTCCATGCAGAAGTTGTGCAAAGGTAATGTCTGATTGTTACTGTCTTGCGCGTCAGTCAATTGATAATTTTATGTGTCCATGTTTCATCAATCTGTGTCAAATTAAAGGCATATTGTGGTGCGTTATATGCTTGGGTTGAGGTAGTATTTTATCTTCATATTACATCCATATCTAGTTAATATGAACATACGTGAAGGTACTAATTGGAATGTGTGCAGTTTGGCAAACTGTTGTTGAGTTCCAAAGGAAAAACTGAACATAGAAGTACAAAGGATATAAGAGAATATAAGAGAATATAGATGGTTAAGCTGATGATTAGAAACTTCCCCATCATAGATATCAGCTGATCATAGTGATTATTTTTCTGATTTTAAATGGATTTTTGAGATGAAAAAAAATATGTTTACTCAAAGAATATAGTTGATTTAGGGAGCACATCTCTTGTACAAGCCAGCAAGGGGAAGTATTATACCACCAACGGATTCTCTTTGCACTGAAGTTCAGAAAAATCAGAGGCATGGAAAACACGACAATTTCCAACAGTGTGATTATGAGATTGAATATGCAGATCATAGTTCCTCTATGGGGGTTCTTGTTAGAGACGATCTCCATCTTGTCACTACAAATGGATCCAAGGCCAATTTAAATTTAGTTTTTGGGTATGTACTCCATTTATGTGACTCTCATTTTCTTTTAAATATATGTATTCCTTAGAAATGCTGATCCATGTAGCATTTCCATTTAAAGGTGTGGATATGATCAAGAGGGCTTGCTTTTAAATACTTTGGCAAAAACAGACGGAATCATGGGACTCAGCAGGGCCAAAGTAAGTCTACCTTTCCAGTTGGCAAGCAAAGGGATTATCAAGAATGTGGTTGGTCATTGCCTAAGTAATCAAGAAGCTGGTGGTGGGTATTTGTTCTTAGGTGAAGATTTTGTGCCATATTGGGGCATGACTTGGACACCCATGGTCAATGTCCTTGCTACGTGAGTAGAGGTTTCCAATGTTGGTTTATTGTTGTCATTTCATAATCTCTGCTTTTGTGTGTATTTGTAGATTTAGTTGCCTGTTTTTCATTTGCCGTGCACTCTACCTGCATTTTCATTTCTTACCATCTTGTTTAAAGTACTTGCTGTTCCTTGTGTGGGTTGTAACTTCTACATGGGATATATTCTGTACAGAGATTTATACCAAACTGAGATTCTAGGAATACGTTATGGAAATAGCCTGCTTGGTTTAAAAGGGCCCAGCAAACTAGGAAAGTTGGTTTTTGATACTGGCAGTTCTTATACATATTTTGCAAAGGAGGCGTATTTGAATCTCATTGCTTCTGTAAGTTCTTTTTGTCTACATTCTATACCATCTGGAATAATGATGAAAAGTTCTTCCATTAAATTCCACAAATTTCATTATTATGTACATACTTGTGCAGCTTAAAGAAGTTTCCAAATTTGGACTTGTCCGAGATGATTCAGATGCAACTTTGCCCATTTGCTGGCGAGCTAATTTTGTGGTCAGGTATGAGAAATCATCTGGTGGATTGCACCCTTGGATTAGCTTTAAGTAGTTTTATTATGTTATTTCTTGAGCTAGAACTCTCTTTTGAGTCATTCTTCCTCCGTATGTTCTGTTTCATGCTTTCTACATAGTTTCTCTGATCTTGATCTAAACTTATTGTGTTTTTTTTTTTTTTTTTATGTATCCATGTCATCATGTCAACTTGATTTAGAAAAGCAAAAAAGTAAATTCAGTATCTCGTTTTTCTTCCCAAATTCAATTTGATGATTTTGGCTTTACCTCCAGTTATTGAATGAATCCTTTAGCCATTCATCCTTGTACTAACAATTGACTCTTAGATAAAAATTCTCTTCTACTCAAGGTTACTCTCCAAGTCCAATGTCCGTCTCCCATATCCATTTGAAATATGAAAATTAAAAGAATAAAAAAAATTAACGATCACATGGAGTGGAGTTTATTCATAAACTGCTTAACTATCAATTTTATAACCAAACAAAAAGAAGCGATGAGGAATTTATCTGATTCATTTAGGAACTGATGCATGGGCATTTAGGAGGGAAAAAGAGTGCGTTTATGTCAAACATAAGCTGAACACTCATCAAACATGCAACATTCTTCAATTGCACCTAGACGCATCTGATATCTTTCATGTTGCAGTATCATGTCCCATATTCTTCATAATGTCCATGATTATTATTATTATTATTATTTTTTTCAAGGCCATGCATGCTTAATGCTTTAACTCTTATTCAAATGCCTCTTGAGAAAAATATGTTTTATTTTCTTGCTTCTGTTTGACTCACCTTACTTCGAACAATATCAATCACAATGACAGACTGCTCTGTATTTTATGTTATATGCATGCAGATCTGTCAAAGACGTCAATTATATGTTCAAGACTCTGACTCTAAAATTTGGAAGCAAATGGTGGATTTTGTCCTCCCTGTTTCATATACCTCCTGAGGGTTATTTGATTATAAGCGTAAGTATATCTTAATTAAAGCTCCAACCATTGTGTTAATTCGGGTTCTTTTAACAAACTCCTCTGCTGCAGAACAAGGGGAATGTATGCTTGGCTATACTTGATGGTTCTGATGTACATGGCGGATCCACAATTATACTTGGAGGTACCCTCACGTTTCAGGAATACATGAAATCTTGTACATATCCTAAATGATATATTCATATTGATTTGTTTTATATGTCCTCGTCAAATAATATGCATATGGATTTGTAACTACTTGAGAAACTTGAGTGCCCACTAACCAATGCTATCATGCTTTTGCCTTTCAATCTTTTGGTACTAAATGGTTAAACTACAAGTCTGAGATTTAAACTTAATGTTCTCCTAGTGTTGCGAGACCATTAGAGCAAAGTGTAAACAGAAGATGGAGAAAAGGGTGGTGTGGAGAAGGATAAGAAAGGAGATTCCAGAGAAGAGAGAGGGGAGAGAGAGAAGGAAGAAAAAAAATAGATAGTCCGATTGCTGAACATAGCGAATATAGATCTTCTATGAAAGTAAATGTATATAGTGATTCAGAGAGAATTAGAAAGAAATTTGATTGTTAGGGTAAAAATTGAATGTGAGCCCCACAAACAATTATACTCCCTCCAATACTAAATGTACGAGCTAGTTGGTTTGTTTATCTTCTAAATGCAAGGCCTCAATCTTCTGTGTCTCCTATATTTACTACTTTTTTTCTCAAACTGCTTAGGTCCTTGTATGTTGTATAAGCTGTTGATAATATTCCATAGTAAATGATTAAAATAACGGGTATTTTAGAAAAGAAATACCAACAAACATTTTGTACAAATAACTAAATTTCCTTATCCTATGTGAATTAGTTAACTATTCCATTTAGGACTAGGAGTATAATTTTTTCTTGAATATTTCTTCTTCTACATGCATGGATTTTGATGGTCCAATTTACAATTTAACTTCCTAAATCTGACTGTTGCTGACTTTAAAAAAAAAAAAAAAACTTCATGTGATAGTTTGTTCTGTTGGATGTTTATTTTTACCGATGATGAAGAAATCTGAGTTTTGCAGACGTGTCATTGAGAGGATATTTGGTTGTATATGACAACGTGAACCAGAGGATTGGTTGGGAGCGAGCAGACTGTGCGGTGCCAAGAAGATTGAGAAAGTCACAAAATTTCTCACCCAATAGCGTGCTCTGATTCTCTCTGCAAGAACTGGAACGTGATATTATATCTTTTTCATCTTTCCTTTCATATTTTGAGTTGCCCCGAGCAGCAACTTATTTTCTAGTCTAGTACATTGATACCGCTGTACAAATCAATCACCGTGATACACGTATGCGTAGCACAGACACGCACCGCACACAAAGACTGATAAATAAATAAATAAACATCAAAGGTTATTGTGTATTCCTCTACTAAGAATATCTATTTGAGTTTGATTGGTAAGTGGCAAATAATTAACATTTGTTAGTTTGTGATTATTTTGGGTAATGGTAACAAGTTTATTGGCAGGGTGCATTTGATACAGGATTATTTGATAATATAATTAGATATTCATATTTTAAATATTTTTTAGAATTTTATATTTTTAGAATTCTTTTAGATTTTTAGTTTTAAATTTTTACTAACAAGATAATATAAATAAATAAAATTAGTCATGCTAGCCGATATCGTGAATTATGATTCATATCATGCTTTAGGAGGTAAGTTGTTCTGCCATTAAACTTAGTTTGAGTTCTTTATCTCTATTAAATGAATATAGAATGGGGATAAAAAATCTGTCCATGCTTTGGAGAGGTTGAATGCGAGATAATCCTATCCTTCCCATCCCCTCTCCTCCTCATCCCTATTTTTGAATTAAAATTTTGATTGTTGAAATTTAATATTTATAAAATTATTATTATAATATCACATAAAAAATAAAATAAAAATATGAATGGTTAAAATTAGATACGGGTGACTAACTGTAGTTTTTTTTTTCTGGGAATAAAAACTGATACATTAGCCAACAAGATGATACAAAACTAGTTCACATGCATGATCTAGTTCTTATCATCTACCACCTTCCTATAGAAAGGTGGTATTTGTTCAAAAGTATGAAAGCTATCTGTATTATCTAAGGTATGTTTAGCAAGATTGTGAGCACAGACATTTGCCTCTTTATACATAATTGCCTTTTTACACATAAAGTTTAGATAAGTAAAATTAGAAAGATTTAGGTAGTTCCTTGCATGCTCAATAATGTCTCTGAATGAGTGAAGACTTACATCATCTCTGGTGATCAAGTTGATGGTCTCAACATAATCTACAAAGATATCAACATTAAGAGGACCTAAATTACAACAAAAATCAAGATCCTAATTATGTCAATAACTTCAATAATAGCCAGGGAAAATGACCAACATTAGAATTAAATCCCCTAATCCAGTTGGCATGATAGTCTCTAGCCACACCTCCACACCTTGAGGACCCATCCTCATAGGATCTATCAATATCTAACTGATGCTCATTATTCCTATGTTGAAACCAAAGACATTGAGTTTCTATGGCTGTTTTAAAAGGGATGTTGATGAATGAAGGATTTGAATATCAACACTTGCTTTGAGAAAAGCTTCCTACATTTGTAGTACCAAATATCCTAATAGGCATACCCAAAAAAGGATATCCTAAGGTACTTGTCTAGTGAACTCCTTGCTAGCTTCGTTCTTCAAGTTCCACATAATCCATTCCTCACCTTTTAGATTTTTGAATCTGTTCCAAGCTTTCGATTTGACCAGACATTTCCATCGCTCTTTTGCCTATAGGCAACCTCTCAATATATGCATAATATTCTCTCCCTGGGACAACCCAAAGGGCAAACATCCTTGTTTTACAGCCCCCTCGAAGCACGTAATTTTGACGTGTGTAACTTGTTCTTAACTGCTAGCCAAAGATGCACTTTGATTTTTTTCATGTCCATCCATCTCTAAATTTTGTTCCAAAGGCCTCTTACTAAGGAATGTGTAACTACAACAAGGAAACAATATGCAGAATAAATAGAAAAGTTACCGTTTGAGAATTGTTTCCACTCAAATTTATCTTCTCCTCTCTCAGCCCTCAGAATATGAGTTCAAGCAATACGATTCACAAGATTACTAGGCAACCATATCTCCATCTCACTAATGTCCCACACCCTATTATCAATAACAAAATCAATCACCTTACTCTCTAGATTAAAAGAAGTATTATGAGCAAGTTGAGCTAGAGGTCTATCACAACACGACCATATATCTGTCCAAGACTCTCTGTTATTTCCATTTCCAAACTTCTTTCCCACCCCCTTGGTAAACTTTTCCCAACAAGTATGAATACTGTGCCAAGGGAAGAGTTAGCTATCTTTTCAACACAAGAAAGGATACCATCGCATCATTTGTATTTTGATATAAGAACTTAAACCCAAAGGGATTGATCATTGATCAACAGTTTCCAACATAGCTTAAAAATAAAAGCCTTGTTTTGTGTAGCCATATCCTTGACCCCCAACTACCATTCTCTTTGTCATGCATGATTTCTTTCTGGGAAATTAAGTGTAAATTTCATTTATCCTCTACATCTCCTTGGAAAAAACTTCTACACTCTTTCTCAATCTTAGATATCAACTATTTTGGGAGGATCATTGTTTGCATGTAGTAACTTGGCAAAGTTGAAATCATTGACTTTATTAAGATTGATTGTCTTGCAACATTGAGAAACTTTCTTTTCCAATCCCGATAGCTTCTTCCTTGTTTTTACAAAGAGTGGGGCAAACAGGCTAAAAGAAGCTCTTTAATAGATGTGAGGGATACGTAGGTATTTTCCTAAATCACTAGTAAAGCTAACTTGCAAGATTATGCTAAGTTCTAGGGCTCTATTGAAATAGGCATTCTTATAGCAACATAATCTTAATATCCTATTCATATTTTGCCTAGAGAAGTGACAAAAAATTTTGCATACAATTATTAATGACTTCAACTTGGTCAATCAAAGTATGAGAAAAAGGCACAAGGTTATTAGCCAAAAACAAGAACAAAATATCTAGGCCATCCTTAACAAGCCTAATCAGTTTCCACCTCTTAGCATCCACCTCAACTTAAATGATATGATTAAGCCTTTCCGTGCACAAAACAAAAGGACATCAAATTACCTTGCCTTAGATCCCTAGAAGGATAGAAGATTAGGGAAGGTTCACCATTCCCCAAAACCTGAAAGCCAGCAATATTGATATAATTCATGATTACTTTGCAGATTTTATCTTCAATCCCTAAGTCTCTTACAGTAGAGTTAATGAATTGCCAATCAACCCAGTCATAAGCTTTCTTTAAGTCTACCTTAAGAGCCATAAAACCTTGTTGACCTTTCTTACTTTTCATTGAGTGGATGACTTCTTGGGTAATAATAATGTTGTCACTACTTTGCCCTTCAAGTATAAAACTGCTGTGATGCATCCCAATTACCTTCAACATAATTGGCTTCAACCTATTAACAATAACCTTTGAGACAACTTTATAACTCACATTACACAAGGGTATTGGTCTAAATACCTTTATGGTTTCTAGAGAATCAACTTTAGGAATGAGAGCCAAATAAGTGTTATTAACACTTCTTATCTTATCAGTATCTTTAAAGATATCCTTCACCAATTGGAAAATGGAATTGCCAATGATGTTTCAATAGTCATAATAGAAGAAAACATGTATACCATCTAAGCCTAGTGCCTTAAAAGCACCCATTTTGAACATTGTTCTTTTGATTTTAGCATCCTCTACTCCATAATGTATAGCCAATAGTTCAGATTCACTCAAAGATAAAAAGCCCTTTATAGTTTTGTAATATTTTACTCTCATTAAACTCCTTGCTAAACAAGCTTTTATAATAATCAATTGTCATGCATCATAAACTATCCACGTTGCCAATCCACTATTATTTTCATCTTTAAAAGCATCAATATGATTCTTTTTTCTTCTAACCTCTATGGATGCATGAAAGAAACTACTATTTTTATCTCCCCATTTCAACCATTTGCATATAGATTTTTGAAACTAGAGTACTTCCTCCTATGTAAAGACAACCCTATTATATTCATTACATAGTTCCTTTTTAACCCATCTCAAATACTGGCTATCATGTGAACATGTCACTCTATCTGCCCCTTTAAGTCTTCTAATAGGCTTCATCTTCTTTTGGACAATGTTTCCTACTCTTTAATTATTCCATTTACTAGCCTATTGGGTAAAATTATTAACATAGCTACTCCATTAATCATTCGCCCAAGCTTCATGAATAATGTTAACAAAGTCGGGTTCTAAAGACAAAGCCATCTAGCATTTAAAACTAGTCTTCTTCACTCTTTGGTTCAATGCATTTGTAAATCGTATCTAAAGTGGTCTATGATCAGATCCAAATTTACAAAGATAAAATACTTAGGCCTTCCAAAAAGAGAATTCAAATTAATATTAGAAAAAGCCTAATCAATCCTCTTCTTAGTAGTGTTCTTTTCTTAAGTAAATCTATCCTCTATAAAATCTAATGCCAGCAAATTAGAATGTTTGATATATCTCCTAAATGATCTCATGGAAGACAAATTAGGACCAACCCCCTGTTTTATCATGACAATCCAAGTGAGCACTAAAGCCACCCACAACAAGGCAATTACCATTCAAATTATTGCCAAAATCAATTAAATCCCCCCTAAGAGTATACCCACGCCTTTAAATAAGCTTGCATACACCATAGTAAGAAAAAAAGGCAAATTTTCATTAAGCACATCTACATGACAATGAATAAACTGCATAGGGTGGGATAATAGATAATAAATATCAACAGTATTAGCATCCCAAGGCACCCAAATTCTACTAACATTCCTAGTAGATTGAAGTCTGATCTAATTAGAAGAACCCAATCTTTGAACAATACTTTTAGCCTTATCCCCACTAACTCATGTCTCAATCAGAACTAAAATATTAATAAGAAACATACATAATAGATCTTTAACTCTACCATGTAACGTTTAAAGCCATCGCTCCCCTAGAATTTCATGAAATTAAATTCATAAAGAAATAACTTTAAGACGAGAGAACATGGTCATTGTTGTTTGACCATAGCATTTTCTCCATCACAATCAACATAGAGCTCTTCTCTTGGTCTTCTTCTAACGCCAATAGCATTTCTTCTATCAAATTATGCTTAATGAATTCAATTTTAGGTTTTCTACAACTTCAATTAGGCCATCATGTTCAGAGGGTTGAGAATGTTATGGAAGGTTTTTGGTGGAGTTTTCCCTCATTTGGTTCTCTTCTCGTATCATTAAAGACGTTGAGAATATAGCCTAGGTTGCAATAGCAGCTTTAAAATTCTCCTTTACAATCTGTATAGGCTCCTTAGCCAACACTAAGCCTAAAATAACATTGTGACTTCTCAAAGCATGTAAC